GTATCAAGATTTGAAAACAGTAAATCAGTCAAAAAGAAAGTACAATACACGAAACCGAGGAAGGGAGAAAGAGAGAAAATATGGGAAAACTTCGGAACACTGAATTTTTCAGATACACACACAGAAATTACAGAATTTCACAGAATTGTTTTTTATCACAACACCTGTCTCCGCTCAGTCTTTTTTCAGGGAATTTCATGAAAATGATGATGCGATTCAGCTTACAATACATTTATGTTGCATACAACACGAAACACAAGTAACATGAATTAGAGTCTCATCACTAACGTTGCAAATAAGGGGGTGGGGGGGGGTGGGGAGTTGGCCCCTAAACTATCAACCCACTCATCCACGGAGGGTTAGATAAAACAAATCTCTGACTGCTCAGATATTGGGATTTATGGCTTTCTCCAGATAATTTTCTGCGTAACTAGACGTGACGTTGGATCCATTAAATTGTAACTGAGTATCCACAAATATGTATAATATTAGCCGATCATACAACAGAACCAGACCCTCAGAGGGACGGGTGGTTAATACGAAGAAGACGATTTAGTGCAAAAGCGAAAAAACACATTCGAATGCGTACACATTCTTATAGTTTCATTGTGGCAATGTTATTTGCCACAAAGATCACAGATCTTACCGATATTAATTTCAAGTCGAACATGAGCTAGGGGAAACTCGAGGATTGGATGTTTTACCCTACCATCTGGCGTGTTGTCTTGAAGCCGCTTTGATGTCAATATTCATTTTGCGCCAATGATTCAAATTTCACACACAATAAACTTTACAATCGAATGTATACCAAAGAAGGATAAGAAAAGAGTTGCAATGAATTTTCTTCTATGATATAAAGAGCAAGAAGATGTTGTTACGAAAGTGAAAAAGATTCGCACAAACAGCCTTGAAAACTATATAGATAAAGAAAGAAATGCGCCTTTAAAAACGTGACCTGCCCTAGCAAATCTAAATTTGCAAGATGAGCAGTATTGAATATCTTGAATTTTACATGATTTCATACTTCTGCCAGAAAGTGTATGCTTATAGAGTTATTTGATTTGTTTCATGATTTTATAATTGTTGTATGTTTGTGAATTCGGAAAGATGTTAACGAATTAACAACATGCAGGTTAATACTGAAAATAGCTTTGATCCAAAGATTGTCTTTTCCACCAATTCTTTCATTTTCAAGAACCCACACTCAACTTTTTCAAATGTTTCTGTTTCGATTGGGTTCCACACGCCGCAGGAAATATTGTGGAGGAAAAGCTCAACACTAACAGACAGGCCACACCGAGTATTATGGTTAGCTTTCATCCTTCTCGGAGGCAATCAATTACACTTCAATAAAAGTCGTTGAAACCTTACAATGTCCTCTTCAACCCATCTTGAACTTAGTTCCAAATAGAAAATGATCTTTAACGGGTATCAGGGTTAGAGAAAGGGAGACCAAAACTAAAAATGGGATCTCGGTGTCAGACGGAACAACGACCTCTCTACCAAACAGGTGGCGGAAAATTGACAGATTCGGTGCCTGTAACATGGCGAGAATCGTGAAAGAATGCTAATAATAATGGGATTTAAATTACTGGTGTAGAACCGGAACATTGTGACATATGGAAACAAGGGTGAACCAGCTCCAAAACGTTGGAGGGGGCTCACGACGACGCGAGAAAACAAAATGAAGGACCAAGTCTTCCTTGGTCTACTAACCCTTCTGTTTGTAGATCAAGGGTACCATAACAACGATGGGATCGCTGTTGAACGACACACTTTCCTAGAAAGAAAGCTTTGACGATTCCAGAGATCACTCGATTGATTATTTCTAGTCCTTCATTGAAAGACATGTATAGCTGGGAGATACTGAAAATATTTATTTTTCAGGTGTCTAGGAAATGGATGTTAGTTTGTGAGGGAAACCTCTACCTACTGTATCGAGATCTACCTGTTTAGATAGTGAGCTTTACTCGCGTAACCGTCCTTTTCAGAAAATCTGTAAGACCAACGCAAGTGAATATAAATCATATTTACTAACACCATAACCTGATAACCATATGAATATTTCGTGTGAAATCTAATGCTTTGATTGAATCGGAATACGATTCAGGCTTGTATACTCAGTACACCAAAGGCAGATACCATGAATTCTGTTTCAGAATTTGTTATTCTAATGGTCAGATTGTGACATGGAAATATGGACATGCACCTTGTACATTTGCAAATGGTAGAAAGCTCACAGTACATAAAACTTGAACACGTTAACCATTTGTCATACGTGTACATAGAACTATTAAAGAGATACCATTGTGGAATTTCAGGAATCGGTAAGTTACAAGAGATTTTGAGAAATAAAACAGTAATCTTGATATACTTTTGCTGAAAAATAACTACACAATACTCCATTCCATTCTTTGCTAGAAAAATGAGAAAAGAATAAAGTTCCGAATAATTTTACTTTTGTCATGATAACGTTTGTATTGCATTTGCAATTTCCGTCTAGAGAGAGAGAGAGAGAGAGAGAGACGAGTACAGAAATAGAGTCACACAAAGAGGCAGAGAGATTACTGATAGATAAAATCAAAAATTATATGTATTCTGTAAGAGTAGCTCATATAAAGAAGCAATTCATGACGACGGGACCCATCACAATCAGAACACGATTGTTTTTAACATTTAGCATGTAAAGGTTATGTTAAAACATGACCCTTGCAGGAAATCGGAATCAATTGGCGTAGTCCCAAAGCGCTCAATGAAATATGACTTCTGTTCTCACTGACAACTTCATTTATATCCTGCTCTCTATTTTCTGTTCTGTCTTTTCTCTCGAGGGAGAAATTGCTCGTCTTTTCGTCTTGTAAGAAGAGTGAATAAAGTAGAAAGGAACCGGACGTGATAAGATACAACAACAAATCTAACGATTGCCATACTCCATCTTAAAAGACATTTTTCTCATCTGATATCTCTTTACATTTGTAAACATTGTTTTTTTCATTCGTACTAACGAAATACATTAAGTGAGAAAAAAAATTGGCAGTAGCTAGATTGCGGTGAAAAAGATTAAACTATGCTGAGAAAATTATCTTTTGTATGGGCCTACTTGGGTGTGGGAGATCTGGATCCCATAAATCAAGAATGAATACACCAATGAGGATAATGCATTTTGAGGGGAGGAGTTTGGTTTTCTTAGGACTATGCCTGATTAAAAATATGCAGAAGTGGCGTTAAATATTTTGCATAACATTATCTTTGCATCACTTTGTCAACAAAACATTCAAAAAGGTCGACGACCCTTCGCATATTGGTTGCAGCATGGACTAGAGACTCTGAGGTAGTAACATCTGGTCACTTGTCTTCTCTGCATCCTATCATCTGGGTAGCACGATCAAGATTACCATCTTCCAAACGGATGCCTTCACCTCTAAAAGCCTTGACTCTCGACCAAAAATGGTCTGCGCTTCACAAAATAAGAAGTGTATTTTCGTACTCACGGTTTGGCGCCAAAGCCTTGACCCCAGGCAACAAATAAAATTGATAGATAAAGCTATCAAGCCATCAACCTTTCCCAACCAGACAAATTAGAAATATATTGATATAATTGATTTTAATTTTACCGTGCTATCAAACCCAGCCAATGCACTGATCAGGATATTTCTTTCCAGGAAGTAGCCCTCATTGAAACACTGAATATGTATGCAATAATTTGACTGATATTTTTTTAGCAGAGATGTGTAGAGAATCTAATTATGATGACTTACTTGTTTATTCAAGTAAGGTTGATTATCGAATAGATATGTGTTCATTTGTAATACCTATTCTGCCTTCTGGATTTAATGTTTAGTACTCCCGCTGTGAATGAATGTATTGTGTGTTTATTTCCTCATTCCTTATTAACTCAGTTTACAAATAATAGATATTGAAAACGAAAAACAACATGACATTTACAGTTAGGCCTTAAGCATTAACTCATGCTTTTTGATCTATTCCAAAGGAATTATGAACATGATGAAGGTCTTTATATCACCTATACGCCATATTTTCGGCTAACAGCACATATCCTGGTTTAATATAAGTATCCAGACTTTACTCCTACATCATGCGATAAGCTCTTGCATTTATTGGCAATTTCAGCATCAACGATGAATTTCAAATTACTTGCGGAGAATATTCCTTTTTTTTAATCATTCTATTTCGTGACGTAATGAGTTGCATACCGGTTAGACCAGATGATTTGATTGGCTTGATCCTAGCTCAGATAATTTTATCAGCAAAAAATTCTCTATTTCTGCCGTTTTGGACATTGTCCATATCTATAGCTCGACAAATCGAGAAGGAAATATACAATTTTATGCAACGGACATTGTAATCTAATTGGAAACCGTGTGTATTAGTAGAATAAGGAGGTTCATCAACTTGATATGAACTGTTGTAATTTGAAGCAGACGACAATGTGATGAATAACCCGCCAAAAACCAGGGGAACGAGAGGCTGGAGCTCATATCTCGACTCCACACTCCATAGATCAAGATGTTATCGGGGGCCTCTATAGGCTCCAACAAAAAACGTCGTTTATGAGTTGCATTACTGTTCCTTCCAAGATGTAAGAAATGAGCTGATTTATATCTACGTATTCATACTTCCTACATGTTGGGATCACTTCCAATATGCCTGTGAATCTTTTTCAAAATCTTCATAATCATCAAAATATTGCACCCTGCTTTAATGATCAATCGAATGTTCAAACCAAGCCTTGTAGATACGAGCTATTGATAATACGTCTACGTCCGTATAATATTCGATAACTATCCAACGTTTATTGTCATGGTTGAATCACAGTGAGTGGGAGAGTATTTGAGGGGGTAGCAAGTTCAACGAATCAATTCTAGATTAAGCTGAGTAGTAGAAGCATACTGTAATATAAAAATTAGATCATGTGCCCTTCAAGACGGGTAAATGTACCATAGCTGACATTTTCCCTCATTTACGAGAAAATATCTTACCTCGACCCCCTGTTGTGTACGTTACAGCATAAGTCCTGGATCCAGTAGTGGCGGTTCCTGGCCTAACCCTTGAAATGTAAGTTCTTGAACTTGTGGACGACCCAGGTCTGATACTGAAGGTGGCAGTACTGGTTCCAGTGAGTGGTCTAGTCGATGTACTGGAGGTTATTCTACTGTACCCACCAGTTCCAGGTCTAACGGACCCCGAGGAACTGGTATGGATGGAGCTTGCAGAACCTGAACCTGTTCTAACGTAGGCCTGGTACTGGCAGTAGGTCCCCGCGTAGCCGGTTGGGCACACGCAACTGCCTGGCCGAAGACATCGACCTCCATTTTGACATGGTGGCTGACATATTGCTGTAATGAGAGAAGGAAAAAAATGAACCACCATTATTACTCATGAAAATTCTTACTTCTAAACATGAAGTGGTGTAGCTTGAAGGCAGTCATTGGTTGGTCTTTAGATGGAAGGCAAGGACATTGGGGATTAATCTTGTCCAATGGTAAAACACCCCCCCCCCCCTTCTCTCATCTCTTTCTCCCTTCCCTCCTTTCTTTAACTTTTGGGCCATTCGAACATGCCCCAATCGGCGCAACCCCCCCCCCCCCCCACTGCTACAGTGTGCAATTATCAATAACCTCTGTCACGTAAATTAGATGTATCAAACTTTCTTCCTCCGAGTATTCATATTCATTTTCAAATATAGTGTTCAATGACGAATAGTTCGAAGCTTACAACTTTCGTTATTCATGTGGGAAGCTTCAAGCAATTTCTCACAGATATTACACTATTACATATTTCCCTGCAGCGTTCCCCTAGCTGAAACGTGGTCGAGAACAAATTCGATATCTTTAGCCAATATTCTATTTTTGTTCTTTGATTTTAAATTTTGGGGGCCTAAACGATGGATCGATTGTTTGGAAGGTCCATACATTCGACATATTATTTAAGTGAAGAAAAACAGTTCAGCTACTTATAAAAGTGACAAATGTTTCATGAATAATGACATACCTTGCACGATATCTTTTTAGTATCAGAAATTATAAAATTGTGTTTATTATACTTTATTCAATTATCCAGACATTTATCGGGATATGATATTCACTATTAGGTTCAACACTTATCAAAGAACTCTTTTTGTATGCCATCAGACTAGCATCTTTTCGTACTTCAGGTACAACTTGAAAAAAAAGCCTAGTCTACGGGGTTCTGGTTTAACAAAACTGATACATGAAAAGATGCAGGCGTGCAATATGTCAAACAGATGGGTTTAGACTCGATCCTTCGGGGACATTATATCTTTCACCAAGTGACGGCTCTTTCAGAAATACAGATCAATTATGATTACAAAATGTTGCATTATGCATTTTTCGTTTGTATTTGGATATTTGTTATACATGTAGGCCTACCTCGAGTGTCTTCATATTTCTTTCTGCACATCCTCGATGGTTGTAAGTTGTAATCTTATGCTTTGAGCGATACTTTTTAATATATTTTTTGTTTGCGGGAGGAGGGACTGGAAATCACAGGAGCTTTGAAGCCATCTCGTCGACCAAGATACGAAGGGAGATCTACTTGAAACCAAGTCTTGACAATATCAATAATCACCATGCTCGATGGCACAGGCTAGTATAATGTCTTTATATTTCGGGCAATACACTTGGGAAGCAATAAGTTTACTTTCGGATGGATATATGTACTAATAAAGTTGCAATTCGAGAAATACTGCATTTAACCTTTTGATCTCAATGACAGAGCGTGCTTGAGAAGTATGGACACATTTCGGTATTGTAAGAGGCCGTAGTTTTGATCTGTACTGTAAGCACATGGATACCATTACTATCAACATTTGATATTTTTTGATCCGTCGAGAATTTTGAGCTCTGCAAGGGGTTTATAACTTGAACACCCAACATATATAACACTGCATGGGCAATCAATCTACTGCTATTTTCCCATTTTCATTTGCATTTTAATCCACATTTTATTTTAGTACACATCCGCCTTTTCTAATCAGTCTGATAAAATTTTGCAATTTATTTGCCACCCATGTCAATGATCCGACTGATCCATACTGCTTACAACTCCTACATTCTAATCAGAACTATCAAGCTACCATATTCATCATGATCATATTAACTATTGTAACTTATTATTTACCACTATTTTGAATAGATTTGTTCGAATTGTTATGTTCGAATTGTTGTAATTTGTAACAAATCTGTGTCTTTGGAATCGAAACATCGCTCTTCACCCACACTGATCCCATGATGGGCGCACAACCCACTACACATTTCGTCTGCTATCAGCAAGAAGGCCGCCACTGCTATGTATTGTCAATGACATTAAAGCCCTTCTTGCAGATGGCTGAAGACTTATCACGTTTAAAACAAAGCTGAATAAACGTGTCATCGACCGTCTAAAACCCTTTTCACTTTCTTTCCCCGATATGAGAAATTATGAGAGCAAACGTAGTAGATATGATGGATATAATGGGGTCCACTTTGTAGAACAGTTTTACCAGCACCTGCTCTCTCATTTCTGCCTTCTAATCTTCACCGGCTTGTTTAAATTGACTTCGATCCACATGTGATTACTTGAATTGCCTTCTTCGCAAACATCATCCGCCCTCATTCACAATCGTCCAGCTTACTTTGAAATTCTTGAAAATTTACTTCTCTATCTCACTTTGAAAATTCTTAAAAGTGTTTACTTCCCTGTCACTGTCTTCACTTATAAAAAACTTGGGGAAAACTTCAGATTAAAGCTTCGAAGAAAATGTAAAGAAAGGGAGAACATCTTTCACATAAGTATCTCTACACCAAGTGCCGTTATCTTATCTACAAGAAGATGTACATGTACATGTAAGCCATAAAACATCCCACCCCTGCTCATTCGACACCGTCATAACCATCAGATATATTATGTCTTAAGTTAAAATGTGTTTTGGACTGGTATAGGTCAAGCCAGACCAGGGTTTAGTCCATCATGAAGAGGTTTTGATCTTAAGTAGACACTAGAGATTACAAGGTTATGTCTGGCACGCGAGCCCTAGAGATAACTCCATGAAACTGAAGACGCAAATTTCTTCCTCCTATCCTACTCCGTCTGACGGTCACACTCAGTACTTCTCAGGAGTGGATTGATTACCATTCATCTAGAGAACAATTCATATTCGAAATATAAGCCCCATCTGGGTGATTATCTGACTTGGCTCTAACAAGATGAATTCCTTTTGATCGAAATCCGGATGAAAGGCGCACATCTCTACCTTCTTGTCCGACGATGGCACAAGAACTTTCAGCCCCCCTTTACAAAAGTTCACTTTGGAAATATAGTCTTCATTCGGGTTATTATCAAACCACTTTACACTCAAAAGGTAACTACATGTGTACTTAAATCCTACTTGAATCATTTATTACGTGCATCGAATAAGTAGAATGTTATACACCATTTTATTGGCGTATAACTGAGTACAAGCGATATTTCTTGATTTCTGTTCAGTGACAGTTGTTTGATTTAACCTTCCCCCCCCCCCCCGGGATATAACATAGCTGGCGAAGCCAATGGCCACAAGGATTCACATAATGAGGTACATGTGTCCATTGTCAAACCAAATTAAAAATTCAGTCCGAATCCAATATTTTTTTGGAGATGTATTCAACAATACATAGAATAAAATTCACTAACCTGTTTTCGTATGAGGCGTATGATTGTTCAAATTCGTATATGACTCACATTGATATAGGTCCTTGGGCCTCTTGCATTAAAATTGAATTTAAACAAAACTTTAAAATAGAATGCGAAAATAAATTAGAACTATTTTCTGATGAGTTGCATATCAAGTTACATTACTTAGTTAGTTTTTTTTTTTTTTTTGGGGGGGGGGGGGGGGCGTCACTTTGATGGCAACATTCTTTATCCATACAGGGGGGTTAAGAAGCTTACGGATCTCAAACAGATATGTGACTTCAGGGAGCATAGAATCATACAGATTTCAAAAAAGGATAAGAATAAGTGTCAGAGAGAGACTTTTCTTGAACCTTATCCATGTCTATTTGCGCCAATACCCAAACCTGCAGATCCTTCTGACTGCATCTTCCAACCACCCATCCATCATCGTGATCAAAACTTTCCAAAAGAAGACGGATTTCTGGTTAATGCAAGTGAGAAATCCCGGGCGATTCGATGAGGATTTTCCTTAGAATGAACCGAGTGTCCCTCATGGCTTAACTCTTTAAGAAATGGATCATATAGAGGATGAGGATGTTGCTACAACATCATATCAATGACGGATAGGATAGGAAGAAGACAAAATACAGGTGCATGATAGGAATTTATTTGGAGGAACAGACGGTATTCCATTTAGCATGGTCTTCAAAGCCGACCGAGATCGCGCTCTCTCGATCTCCACACCAGTCTAGCCAAATTCAAGTTCAGAGGCCGATATCACATATTTTCACGCGCCTACATTTTCTCTTCATGACTTTTAGAGCTTATTAACTGATCAAGCACGAACTCGGGCACACGAAAAGTATTTTCCTCACGTGCTTATTTTTTTCACTGATGCAAACCTATTTTCATGAATCTGCCCTAAAATTACCAAATGTTAATCGTTTTAATTTTAAAAAGATTATTTTTGATGACTTCGAAAGCTGTTTCGGAAATATTCGAACAGATGCAGTATGTTTTGAAACCACCTGTATGCCCATGTTGCCCATGGTAAGACATAAATATTCTGATAAAATGTGCCCTTCTCAATCTGTTCTAGATATTTATATCCTATAAACAAAAAGAACTATTTTCTGAGTTTTTTCGGACAGCATAATTGAATGTTTCACCCCTATTTCTGTTAATAAAAAGAATGCACACTTTAAGAAAAACCGCTCAAAGTGGGGTCAAAATAATTGTCGTTAGCTGTTCTTAAAACACTTGTGAAAGCCTATAAATTAAATGTGTAGGTTGCAATGAAATAGTAATGGGGACATCTGTAAAGTAAGCAATTCAAAATTAAACAAGGTCCATGCAGCAAGTATATTTGTTGCCTCCATTGTATTCTAGCTAAGTTGTTATATTCTATAATCTTTTCTTGATATATCTGCAAATACCTCCATTATCCCCAATTTTGTTTTCTTTTAATGTAAATCAGAGTTCGGAACACAGGTTTAATGAAAGAAGTAAAATATACTTACGTATTGTACATCTTCCTGTGTAAGCATTTAGTTGCCAGCCAGAGCAGCATGTTGATTTACATACGTTAGGCCTAAAGAGAAAGGGAAACAAAATGAAAAATAAATAAATACACATCGCTGATCGTCATATTACTTTAAAATGTGGCTTTAATCAAGAGAAGAGTCATGTTGTTAGTTACATGGCTTTGTAACTGGAAATATGCTGACAATGACATTCACATATCCTACCCTCAAAACGTTTACTCATAATCAGCTATCTCGAAAAAGGTCGTTAATCATGAGAGATTAATTACCTTCTTTACCGCTCCTCCATCTCGCCCCCCCCCCAATTCCTCCTCCTCTTTGTCTCCCATTTTCGTTACCTTTCTTACCCTGCCTCTATCTCTATCTCTCTCTCTTTCTCTCGCTCCCCATCCTTGGGTCCCCCCCCCCCCCATTTCCCCTTCATCCCCTTCTCTCGCCCACTCTCATTCACCCTTCAGTCTCATTATAGTGTTTCCCTCCTCTACCAAACTCTCACTCTTACTTTCACTCATAAAAAGAATTATTAAGTCAAAGGGACTTATAATGTAACAAATGTGTGTAATAATATATTGTAATAACTTCCTAAACTCTAATTCAACTCTGACTTATATTTCCCCTCCTATTCTTTATATTTTCTGTATTTCCATCGTCACATCCTCGCCCTTATTTCACGTCTTCGTCATCTCCTTATCATAAAGTTCGCTTGAACATCTTTTCTCCATTTCCTTCCCTTTCATGTGTTCCCCGATAACATTGAATTCTCGTGCTTGGAATACTGCGTGAGTGTTTAATCCGAAATCATTTTTTTTGTAAGTTGTTACATAAAAATTCCCCCAGAAAGTTTGGAAAATGAGTTCACATCAGTCTGCAATTAACTGCAGTCACTCATCGCCCTACGGAACCCACTTTTCTCTTCCGAAGAGAGCAATATCCGACACGCCATTTTCTAAACCCAAATCAACGGGGCTCAAATATAATCCATCGCCACAGCTCAGTGCCATTTCTAAGATCATGGCCAACAGAAGCAGAACAGCAGCCATGCTAATGTTCACGCTTTTCCTCCAAATCCACGGAGATAACGATTTATTTTGGGAAGAAGGGAGGGGAGATATCTTGGTGACAAGCTGCCCCCCTGGGGGGATACCCTTACCCCGGTTAAGTTCCGAAAATCGCAGAAAATGGGGCAAATGCAGCACTATGACATGGCAGTATCATATGGTTTCGTTTGTCCTTTTTTTCAGGTTTTGAATAATTTTGACGAATTGATTTGGAAAGTCATGGGTGACTGCGTCCTTGTTTAATGAAAGAAATTAACGAAAATGTCACGGCGGAAAAGAGATTCATCTGTTACTTCCTTTACATTTCCCCGTATATGTAAGGTTAGAGCTAGTTAGCTTTGTCAGAATTATATAAATGAAATAAAATGAAAATGTCTTCTAAAACTGTTTCTATGTACGACAGCAAGTAGTGTATAATATAAGACCTCAATTACGAGCCATGTCTTGATATTTATGATACTGTCTTCTTTTATAATAATTCAACTTCAAACTCACTTTAATTTTGTTAATTTCAATTTCAGTACCAAACACGTGCGAATAAATTTCTCTCATTTTATTATGGTACCATTATATAAAAACACTACAGATTTGTCCTGATATTATATTTATTATATAAAATAAATTTGTTGATACACTAAAAGAGCAAAATGTGTTTTAAAATACATGTAATTTCGCCCTACTGTTTTCCATTGTTTGAGAAACAAAAACTAGGAGATGCACATCATGGAATTGTTTACATAAACATTTTACGAGAAATAATTATTACACTAAAAAATTGTTCTCTAGGTTTGTGTCCACCTATAAACTCAATCTCGAGTCAAACATTCTCAGGTGCTAAAGGGATCTGTCGTGTGTGCAGTGATAATGAGGTACTGACAATCACGAACACATTATACTGTCAATCTCAATGCTAGGTGTTTATACAGTAGGCATCGCTGTGTTTGTTACCTTAACAAATTGCTCATTTGATGACATCATTCTCTATCAACATGGCATGTAGGAATAACAACGTCTGAACGTCTGAATGTCAAACGTAATCTGCTTAAAGAGTCAACTAAAACATTTTGTTTTTTAAACACTGATAAAGAACGAAAACATTAAATAGCCTCCCTAGGCAAATACATTCTTGATGCATTACTATGCACTTTAATGCATTGTTGAATAGCAACATTTTAACGCTGTATAATCGAATATTTACTGTCCTAAGTGAAATATGGCCAAGGCCTACATATTTAAATTGTTATTGATGTCATTTCCTCAATTAATGGAAGAGGCCTTGTCTTATACTGCATGCGCCTAACATGGAGAACAACCTCTGGCTACAAAAATGGTTTAGAAAATAATAATTGTTTTCAAAAAAATAAAATGAATGACATATCCGTTCAGTCAGTGTAATGCAAGTGACCCATATCTCATGAACTATCCATGCTCCCTCCAAAACATATTTACCAGAAAAGCTGGCGATCGCTGCATCATGTACAATGTTTGATCACACAACCTTTTGCGCTGGTGTTATAGAAAAGGCGCCAGATAATGTCCCAACCTCATCGAGTTAACTGTCGAGTTAACTGTCAAGTAAATCTCAACAATCGAGTGGATTCAAACATATTACTACGATGATCAAGAGGAACATGTTTGTTCCTTCATGTCAATGACCTCCCTGTGTGGGTGTGTAAAAGGTTTTATTGAATCAATATGCATGCTTTGACATGAATAGCCTCTTTCACTACAAACCACGTGTCTCTTAAATGTAATAAAATGCCATGTTCTAGTTCAGACCCCGTCTTGACATATTCCAACTTCCACATGCAGTCTCGATCTGGTTTGACATTTGTTAGTAGGCTACTGACATCTGGCAGGTAGGTTCACATTGGGAGTAGGATACAATTACACTATTTTCCCACCCGTGAAATGGTAATAAATTGAATTTAAAGTGAATCTATTTATACGTTCCAGTGACATAGACCACTGCTAAGTCTTGTTTCATAAAGAATTACGCGTAATGGGATGATATATGTCGCAATAGTCAGACTTTCGTGTTGTGTGAGAAGACTGTACAACAGCTTGATACCAGTAGTGCTTCGGAATGGATCTTTGGAGCATCAGATGCTATGAAAGCTATGACTGAAATTGTATCATATGAATTCCATTTCTCCTTGTTTGCTAGTCTAGCTTTGAGCTTTGACAAAAATATTTGTGAAGGTTTTCTGTACCTTTAGAAAACCTAGTAACAATGTCATCATTATAATGATCAAACAATTACTTAGACCCATTCAATCTACAATGGGGTAAAGCAGAAAATGTATGCATTCATTATCATCAAACATCAAACATCAAACCAAAGTGAACATCAATATCTACATAAAACAAGGGAAACGCTCTCGGCGGTCTCGCCTGCATAACGCAATTCAATATGATAAACCAGAACGTCAATGACGTAGCGCTCATTCGCATCTCGCAACAACAAATATCGTAAATTTTATGTGGTACACTTTTGAACTGGTCAAAAAATAAAAATTTGATGCCCTGGAATGGACATAATTTCATTTCATTTGCATAAAGTACCATAAATATCAATGGAGAAAAATCTCACAATTCTGGGTAGAAGTTGACGCCGCCGCCGCCGCCGCCGTCACTTGAAAAGCGGCGCCTATGTCTTGCTTTTTGCTACGCAGGCGAGACAAAAATGATTATATTACTTTATCTTTCGAACCTTTGCCTCCTCTCAATATATTAACTGTATCGCAATACAATCACTACCTGCATGATATGAAAACACTTATTTGCAATCAGCATGACGTACAAGCCTTCGACCAACTGACCAATATCTCGAATGTGTTATCCGTTCCTCTCATGATGTTCACCAAGTGGCCCTTAACATGAGGCATGATTGGCTCACTTTGACCATCACGTGACCAAGCAATGGCGTCAACGGACTGGTATCATAGTCGAGTAGAAACCACATTACAATCAGAAAAGGCGACGCGTTTCTAACCAGACACTCAAAGAGCATTACCATTATAGTTCCCTGGTGAAAACCATGATGGAAATGTTCCACTGTTCCTCTTAGGCCCGAATTCACAAAGGAGGTTTGTCAACAAACCTTGGTTTTCGTACGTCATATGACGCGTTTTACGCGTTTTTTTACGGTTTGTAAAGAACAAAAGGAGGTTTGGCGAAACAAAAGGAGGTTTGAGCTCAAACCTTGGTCTGAGCTCAAACCTTGCTTTGTGAATTCGGGCCTTTGAGTGTGAAGCAGATAGACGGTCTAAATCGTGCGTACTGAATGACGTTCGTGTTTTATCAACAAACTTTTATTATGATTCTGCCTTGCATTGTACTTTGTAGCCTATATAGGCCAAGGGGCTTCCTAAAAGTAAAAAGTATTTGATGCTTGTTTAGAATCAAAATATTCCAGGTTACTGGTCAAATTTCAAAATGTAATTAGACCGAAAGTGTGGAATGTAAAGTGTGGAATGCAAATTTCATGTTTGGTAAAAGCCTCTGACATAATACATATACTCTATAACAAATTTATTAAAGAATCATTTTTTGTACACATTTGAACATTATCAGTGACTCAGCATGTTCACATACACACGTATTTCTCACTCGCGATGCTGGTTGTATACAAACAACGACTTTGAAAATTAAAGGCATTAACATTTATTTTTAGCTTAACTATATAATTCCATTATTCCAGACTGATGAGGTTAATATATTTACTTTCATAATGTAATCACCCGATGAATTAATACGTGTGGTTCTCTTCCTCTCTTCCAGTGAATAAACTATTCCGCGTCGTCTTTTATTCTCGAAATTGTATAGACGTTGGGTCCTATCGTCTGTTCGGATCCAGTTTGTGATTTTTTTAAATACGTTCTAAACATAAGGGCAGGTGTGTTGATGTGTCTCCTGCATGGGTGTCTTCCTAGAGACTCAATTAGCATATAAGTTGTATACCTGTCTGGTTTCCTTTATGATATTATGCTTCCTATAGGATGTTTTTTTTAAGCTCATGTGGGTCCCATTTCCTGATAATTCTCATTCTCATCCGTCTATTTATGCACTTCAATGGTTCATAAAAACGGGGAAATACTCCAAACACACCCATGAAAATGCATGTCCCATAAAAGTGCTTTATTCCATCCACCTGTTGCAAAGTGCGTTTTAATAGTTGGAATTTCTCGATTCCGGTGAAATTCACAACAAATAAAACTAGATTTTGAGGGTTGTTGTGACTAAATTGTGATTAAGTGCATAATCTGTTTATGTTGTTATTTCTTTCTACCAATGAATATATAAACCAAGTAGATGTTGAATTATTTTTTCATCAGTACGAAGGAAATTGTGTGAATATAAATTTATTTTTGATCGACAGCCCATTGAGATATTTATTTTGGTACATGTATTTTAACCCCCTGTAAATTCCATCATGTCGCTTCATTTCAATAAGAATATTATGGCATTGGACACAAATTGTGGCTCTGAAATACAAGGCAGAAAATACATATAGGTTGAAAACACCAAAATAAGAAGAAGAAAAAATAATCTAAAATCGTTATAGTCTCTCTCTCTCTCTCTCTCTCTCTCTCTCCTTCTCTTCCTCTCACTGCTCTTCTCCATCATCATCACAATGCTCTTCTTCACTTTCTATTGGTAATAATCTTTATGTTTATGTATATGTTTTTACAACACCGGTGACATTGCCGTAAATTACCTGTATGCAATCTGTCATATTTTATTGTAAAGGAATGAGTCTATATTTCAGACTTAATATGCCATAATAAATATGTCATTTTAACATCAACACAGATCAATTCAAACGCAAGGTTGACTACATCACTATTTAGTTAACATTTTATTCTGATAGGTTGTCTGGCGCCCTAGATTCATTAAAAAAATGCCACAAGTAATAAATGTTGCACTGTCATATTGAACTTCAGACTGCTAATAATAATACAAAAATAAAAATCGGGACAAATTCACCGCTTTAGTCAGCATAAATATCAAAAATATAAAATCAACATTGCGTTCACCCCTCCCCTCCCCGAACATTAAAAAGTTTTGATTGAACGGAAGCTACAAATCAATAAATAATGACACTCTTTTATAGAATGTTACAGCAAGGTTTCAACCATGAATTTCGTTATATGATATATGTATTTATGTCCTGCATCAAAAATTTGTTGGCTTATGATTGGTTGAGAGATCGTCACATGACCAGAAATATTTGACCTATTTTTAGAAAGTACTATATGAGAGTACTATTTTGGTTTACTATTTGGGAGTTGGAAAAAAAAAAAAATTTAAATCTTAATTTAATGAAAACAAAATATTTTAAATCTTTTTAGATAAAAATTGACATTTTTTTTGTCCTAAATTTGTTTTCTCCCAAAAATGTTTTTATTTTTTTTATTTTTTATTTTTAAATTAATTTTTGCTGCAGGATATAAAACAAATATACCATGCCTTCTATTCGAGGTACTGGTTAAACTATGGGCATCGGTGACTCCAAAAGTACCATTTGCTTCGGGGCTGCGCCCCTCAGCAAATAGTACTATTGGAGTCACCTCTTGCGCATAGTTTTAAAGGTATTACAAAGTTTTGGTATGGGGTCATGAATTGGGTTCAAATTAACATAGTGGAAGCCTATGCGATCCTTCAATATTCAGTGATCGTTGTCGCGATTGAAATCGAGTCTAAAGTTACGAAATTATAAATAATAAACTCTTTATGTTGTATAGCTCCCTCTCAAGGTCAAGATATTAATTTAGCTATGAAACAATGTTTTTTGACTAAAATCGACCAATTAGCTATTCTCGTTTGGAAATTATATATCACAACTACATAATTTTATTCTGAGATTTTCATGGTCGCCGCTTGTACGGCCATAGGCGCTATTTGAAAATTATCAAAATTTACCGGGAGCACCGGTAAATTTTTATATTCAATATTTCTCGAAAACAGAAGTGTTTTAGGGGCTAATTTTTTTAGTGCATATAATACATCCACAGGGGCATCCAAATATAACAAAATTGTAAAGATTCATTATCCACCCAATTTTAAAAATTTCTCAAAACTTTGTATTACCTTTAACCAGAACCTCTCAAGTCAGTGTATATTTGTATAGTATGTTTACCTCTCAAGAGCAATTGCACAAGTTTTATAATGGCAGATTCAGTGATTCCGTCAATAATAATAATATTATGATGATATGGATTTAAATAGCGCTTAATACAAAATAATGTCCCTAGGCGCTTTACAGCTATAAACCCCGGTCATCGGTTTTAATGGAGCATAATCCGCATCATATCCACTCCCTGAGGATTATTACTACCTTATGGTCACCGTGGGGGGGCATATGACAATTACTAACACAAAGTTTTCGTCGTCCTACAAGGTCCCCATTTCTCTCCTGGGTACGAAGTGTCAAATGTAGAATTAATGCCTTACCAAAGGAATTTAACGAACCCATGACCTTTGCATTTCAAAGAAAGTGCTTAAACCACTAATTACGACACCTCTACCGGTGACAGTGTGATTTCATAGCATTTTACAGGAACACAGGTCTGAAAGAAATCTCTGACAAGCAAACATTTGAAGTTCTTACATTAAATACAGAGCATTTACCGTTAAAAACAAACAAAAAACATCGGTAATACCCACTCCCCCCCCCCCCCCACACACAAAGAAAAGAATAGATGCCCGTAAAAACGCCCCAAATGAAGAGCATTATAACTTTCAGTGTATAGATAGCTTCTCCAAGCCTAAATGCGGATGTATATCCTAAATCTGACAACACACTGAATATCAAGCCCTAGCTCATCATCACGACGGAGGTGACATTTTTACCATCACATGTCACGTGACACTCGACAATGATAATATACTGTCTTGATTTATGACTGCGGTCGCGCAGCGGTCATGTAACATTTAAATAGACGCGAGAAGACATTATGTCTGTCTTCATCCACATGATTCATATCACTTGATATCAATGTGATATGAAAGAAAGAGCGTTTTTATGAACAACTGTTTTCATTTCATGTAAAAGTGGCTTCGTGAAAAAATGCCCATGAAATATGTTTAGACAAATGTTATCTTGTTAAATTTGTTTCAATCATTGGCTAGGGTGCATTTAAGTCACTTAACCTTACTGCCTGTCACCCCACGGTAAACGCTTTAAAAATTTTTTTTACTAATTTGACAAAAGAATGAATTCCACATATTTAGAATATTGACCTAGGTTCAGTAAAGGACTTAGAGTTCTATCAATTTAAGTCCGTCAATTTATTGCATCCTAATCTCATAATGTGTGGGTTGGTTCGATATGTTTATGAATGGACACCAACTTACAAACAGTCAAAATACATTACAGACTGAATGTCAAAAGATAGAAGGTGTAACCTTAATACCAAGAATACTAATAAACTGTACGGTCATTGAACACGGTGAATACGTGACTTTGTTAAAAAGTACTTGACAAAAAGAAAATTCTTTCTGATTGTTACACAAAGAGAGAATGTTATTAAAATATTTGTTTTGATAGCTGGAATGATGTTAAAAGTCACATTCATTATTGATTGAATGTGCCTTTTTAAATGCCGAACGACATAGTTTGAATATAATGAAGTTCATAGAATGATTTGAACATTATTTATCATTATTGCATATGTCATCGTGGACATCTTGAAAACCAGGAGGCACAGTCAATGATAGATTTCTGACTTTGCCCTTCTTGGATTTCGTGTCAAATGTTACGAAAGGCCATACAGCGTGACGATGTAATAACAACAAGGGATTGTGCTCGTTAGCAGAGTTATTCCAACAGATTTGTCGGTGTACGGGACTGATGAGATGTTGCTGAATGAAGTAACAAACCAACATTTTATGTTCTTGCTTTCACATGTAAATTTGTGTTCTTGCTTTATTCAATATCATAATTTGAACTGCCATGCAAATGGGATACAAGTTTGTACTGACGATGAAAATAATGTACCATGCCCGATAACACGACTTCTATATA